TGTGTTAATTGACAATGCCGAGGAGCTGTCAGCTGACCCTGAGCAGTTACACAGGTCTGTAGGAATGTACTAGCTTATGGTCAGAGCATTGCACTCTGCATCAAACTTGCTCCACTTTTCCATCCAATCACAAGTAAAACCAAAACCAGTGGAGACTCACTCGCACTTGTTTCCCTGTGCTAATGTGTCAGCTACATGTGATTACTTTGGGTTTTGATTGGTTCAGTGCATTGTCTGTGTCATTTGTGATTGGCCTAGAGAGTAATTACTTTGGTTTTTGGTTTTAAGACATGTGATTGAAAACTGCTCTGTTTGCCAATAGCCCTGATAAAACAGGTCTGTCATCAAGTTTTGAATCAACTGTAGCCTTGATCTTCACACCTGCATCAAACTTGTTACCTATTTCACAAATTATTGTAATCAGCTATAGGCAAGTGCATCCTTAACATCAAGGGCCCATCAAGCATACTCAGCTGTAGCAGGTGTTATGGGTTATGGCCCTTATTGACAGCCCTGTTAAAAGATTGTCATTAGAGTGTCAAAAAACTACAGAAATGCTTAATGTATAGATAGCTTTTAACCCATTGACTCCTGTGCCGGCCGTAACCGGCTGTGATGAGCCTTAGCCTTTCTTCCACTCCTGACATTATCACCCTTGACCAAAATTGGCATCATCTATGCTGAACTTCTGCAGGAGGAGAAGATCTTTCCAATGATACCCAGATCAGAGTGATCAGCCCAATGGAGCCTGAGATATGGTGTATGCACAAAAATGCCAAAAAAGTTGAGTGAAAAACTCAGAGCAAAATTTCCTGCCCCTACACGTGGCTACTCCATGGCAAAAATTGCTTGTCTTGATGATGCTTTCTCAGAATGTTTTAAACTGGAAGCAAGCCCAGTAGAAGGTCAATCACTGCAGCAAAAAGAAAAGAAAAGGAGAAAGAGGAAAGGAGAACAAAAAAAAATTAAAAAATTGAAAAGCCTAAAGACGTAGGTCACTTTCTCAAAATTTTGATTTCAGTGCATGCCTGAGCGAAAATGTCGTAAAATGCGATGCTAGCGGAAAGAAAGGCATGCTGTCATGTTGCAAATGCGTTTTTTAGTAGATTGGAGCTAATTTTGCCCATATCCAGCCTGAAAATGTCCAAAATGTCCAAAAAAATGTGTTTTTAGCAAAAAGCTCCAGGAGTCAATGGGTTAATAACATTTCAGATTATTAATTTTAACTTAAATCTATTTTTCTCCTTTTGGGTCCTGATGTGTAACAGAGTTTTTGGTGAGTTTTTTGCACCTCTTGTGTCATATGGCAAGCCTCATTCCAAGCCATCTGCAACCGTGAAGATTGTCAAGAACACATTGAACTTCCTCTTACAGTATGTAGTATCCAGTGAAACACCATCCTTTGTCAGAAGAATCATACTGTCATCTCTGAGGAATGTTGTTACACTCGTGATTTGTAAATCCACATAAAGTGAAATTCAAATCAAACCACAACAAATTAAATCAGAGGTTTCTTTTAAAGCAATTGTATTTGTGCAATCATGTATTTTAACTGTTTTAATATGTACAATGTACATGTACGTAATGTAGTCTTGCTAGTTCGAAATTCAGTGTGTTACAGCAAGGGCGTCATTTCATGAAATCCATTACATTTAAATTTATGGCCAAACAGTTGCCTGCTTTCATTTTGTTATCTGAAGTTGGTACCACATGTGTAATGTGGTAAATTTAAAATTGTTGTGAAAAATTGTTTAAAGTGAAATTCCTCTATAAGAAAGTCGACACCTCTATTTGTCAAAAGCTGCTGAACATCTCATGGTAACTGAGTTTACAATGCTCTGATATTATCACCATCATGCCCTTTTCCTGCCTTGTGTTCTCACTCACCAAGCTTCTCGGTTCAGCACATGTACCAGCATCCAGCCAGCCTTTGAATCCAAACTCCCTCTTTCCCTCTCCAGAGTTACTCTCCAGGTTTCCCTAGGCCTTCCTTTCTGACGACTTCCTTCTGGGGTCCGAGTTACTGTACATAGTGCCTGTTTTTGGTGTTCATTAGCTTTCCTTTTTCAGCACATGACCAATCAACTGCCAACACCTTCGTTATATAATTATGCTGCATAATTTCTTTCATACTTCACTTGTTCTTGATCTCATCTCTTCATTTGACACTCTCATTGGTCAGTAAATTTTCTGACATACGTATAGTATAATTTGTAGTTATTTTGAGTTACAGGTCATTCCAGACTCAAATACAACACTGGTTTTGAGTCTTCATCATCCTCAAGCTCAAGTGCGTGAAATGGCTGTTAAACGACTTGGAGATCTTTTAACAGAAAAAGAGGTAAAGTTGAGCTGTGTACAATATGCATGTATTCCTCAAAATTTTATAGTTCATTGATCCATTCTCACAACATTTAGTTGTTCAACAATCCATGTACAATACAGTTATTTATGAAATGGAAAACATGTACTGTGTTTCTATTGAGTTATAGAAACATGAGTGGAAGTTTGGGAGCACGAGAAATGCTGTGGAAACACGAGCTGCAGGCAAGTGTTTCCACAGCTTTTTCGAGTTCTCCCAAACTTTCACGAGTGTTTCTGTAACTTGATAGAAACATGGAGAACATGTTTTCGATTTCTTTTAGAAAACGCTGCGACAAGACAAGGAAAACAACTTGTTAACTTTGATTATCAAAATGTAAATTCTCTTTGCCCGTGCCATCATTACGTCAACAGCTTGTGCTAGTTCTGTGTTTCTATCGAGTGATAGAAACACGATTTTTAACCAATGAGTGCCTGTGTTTTCTTAGGACTGTTTTGTAATGATAGATAATAATTTTTGTAATTGCAATATATGTATCATCAATGGGTTATTTTTGTACTTGGAAATATTTACATGTACTGCTTTTCATTTCTGGATGCAGGGACTGTCAGAAGAAAAACAGTTCATTGGTGAGTCCTTACTTTCAAGGCTGCAGGATGATGACCCAGCTGTTGTGGCTTCTGTGCTGACATTAGGACAGGTACACTCTAGTTTGCTTTTTTAACATTAATTTTTAAAAGAGCTGTTGTTGCCATTATTAACTAATTTGCTTAACATTATCAGGTCCTTGTCAATAATCTTTCTGGCAAACAGTTTGTGGATGAGATGTTTCAACTGCTGGACAAGAAATCTTCAGAGTGGTTAGTTCTTATAATACATTGTGTGTATGTACATTTAAATGTACATGCAGTGGTTTAAGTGCTTTTTGAAGGTTTTAAAATCCTTGGAAGCCTTACCTGTTACAGCTTTTGACAATTTCCCAGTTCAGATTTAACCTGCTATATAGGGAGACTTTGGTCTCTCAAAGCTGAGTGGACTCCTTTAGCTTAACCTAAGTCCTCTTACCGAAAGGTTCAAAGAAAGGCTTGAGGTGTGATTCTAAGACTGTGTGTTATGTAATGTTTATAGAATCAATTGATAGACCTGTGTAATTTTGTTTTCCAGGGAAGAGGTCCACAAGGAAGCATCGCTCTTGCTGGTTGGTGATTGGGTTACCTGTGCTGTGCCATCGCTTGTGGATGAGATTGTGTTTGGTTTATTGCCTCGCCTTCTTCTTCAACGCAAGTCCCAGAAAACAGCGATTCAACTATCGTTAACTGTTAGCAAATCGGTGCTGGCTGCACAGCATCGTCTATTGTCTGGAATGAAGGAATTTGTCAAAAACAAAGGTACATAAAACATACATGAGTTTTTCCTTTTTTTACCAAGTTATTTCACAAATACATGTAGCAACATTGATTGTCATTTTGAAAACATTTGACAGAGTGGAAGAGTTGTGGAAACAGTCCTGACCTTGATAAGCTTGCCTTGGCTGATAATGCATTAATCAGCTGGCTTGCAGAAAACCTGATGAAATTGAATGAAGAACAACTTATAGAAACAGTAAGTGTAATACATGTACCTGATCTTTGCCGGCAAGGCTAAAATACAGGTTACAGATTACAGGTCACAGGTCACAGAAGGCTGTGACCTGTGACCTGTAACCTCACAATCATGTGGATTTATAAAGCCATCATTTTTTTCGTTCATTTACTAGACAGTTGTACAACCTAAATTGTGAATTGTCTTTGGTGGAGATAGTTATTGAATTAAACATGAATAATTAGTATAATTATCCATCAAAGATTAATTTACCCTGTTATTCATTCAATAGTGATGGGTCGTAAGAAAGGCAATAGATACAATGGCTCATATAGTTTATTATCATCATGGCTAAACGAATGAGAACTCTTGAATTGCTTTATCCAACGATTCTGTTTTTAATAAAATGCTTTATCTACTGTATTTTTTATCAGGTGCTAAGTATGATGAAGTATGCCAAGACTCTTGCAGATGATAATGTTTTCCATCCACTCCTGAAGTGCTTGCTGGGAAGGGTAGTTTCCATGGCAACAGACCAGTGTAAAGTGACTCTGAGCCAAATTGTCACTGAATTTACCTTGCCTGATCTGTGGAGGGTTACAAGACTTCCAGGAAATTACGAGACACCCGAGGTATTAACATCATTGTTAACTTGCCAGTCTACATACGATTATCTTAAGAAATAAACCTGGTCCACTCATTTCTATACAGTGTTGTACATTTTGGCATAAAAAATAAATTACAATATTTAGAGAGAAAGCCACCTCAGCCTTAGGTGGTTTTCATGCAAGTCCTCTATCCTGGTTGAATTGGAATTTGGAGTGTTTTTGTGGAGGGAGGAAAACCGAAGAACCCAGAGAAAAACCCTCGGAGGAAGGCGAAAAATCAACAACAAACTCAACCCACATATGACACCGGGCCAGAATTGAACCTGGGCCACACTGGTGGGAGGCAAGTGCTCTCACTACTGTGGCAACCATGCTCCCCATCTTTTCCTCTCCCATCTTGTTGTCTCATCTTGCATTCATCCTACTTGCATGTAACCACAACAGGCACATTTAAGATTATTTTAATGTACAGGTACACTAAGGGATGAACACCTGCACTAATGACAGAGCACTGTCAATTCATATCCAAGTGATTTCTATGATTGCATGCATTGGTTGTTAATAATAAATTATAATTCAGGTTTCTCTTGTGAAGAAAGAGAAACAGTTGGCTCAAGAATTAACTAAATGTGTTTTTTAAAAAAGTAAAAGGCTGCTCAGCTGTTCAGCTGTATTTTTTGTATGATGGTGGTTAAGACATTATAAGGCAGTCTGTGAAGTTTGCTTCTAATCAGTAATGAATTTTAATTGTTTACAAGTTTCATTTATATTTTAGAGCGAAGACTCCGAGCAGGAGACAGCTGGAACTGTTCCAAAACCACTCCTAACAAGCCTGCTTAGATTTCTTGGCAAACACAGTACTAAACGTTTAAATCATGCCAAAGGGGCTATCACACTTTGGCTGTGTGGGAATCTGTTAAAGAACATCCCAGCAAACTCTCAAGCTCCAGTTGGTAAGAACTGATTTCCCCAACCATAAAATGTTTAAGGAAATGCATACACTTCTGGCACTTGAAAACTAACATAAGTCAGCTAGTTACAGATTACATGCGAGAAAAATATGGTTTTGGCTCGTAGGTTTAGGGCTTTCATTGCATGTAGCCATTTTGGTTGGTGTAAAGGAGGCTGTAATAATTGAGTCCAGTTCACGTCACAAGGCTGCGAGGTTTCCATCTATCAGTATAAATGTATAATTATTTCAAAGGTTAAAATGTCTAATTCCTTTTCCTCAGTTCCCCCTTCTGTTTCCATTTGAACTCCAAGCCAATCGAGATATTTGTCAGGAGGGTGGGTGCCTTAAAAGTAGCAGCAGGGGAGGGCAGGCTGATAGCAGAGGCCACCTCTGTTGTTAAAATATTGTAAATGTCAATTGTTATTAATAATGTAGTATATTGTGCATGTGTCAACACAGCACCGAGAAAAAAAAAAAACAGTGTGTGGTAGATACATGTATACTTACCCATATGCCGGTACTTACAATCTATACCAAAGTGAGACTCAGGGAGGGAGGGAGGGAGGGAGGGAAATCCAAACTAGCAAGTGAGCAAGACACTGCAAGCAAGCAGAGCACATGGCATCACCCTGGTGGAACTCCTCTTGATACCTCCCTCCCCTCTCCCCATATTAGATGGACCACTGGCAAGCTTTTACGTGATTTTAACTTTGCCTAACTTCCATTTACAGTAGCCCCATTTACTAAAAAATGAAACAATGTTATGTGTTTTGTCTGCTTACCTAGGACACTGGTGGCCTATAAAGGATAGTGGTCAATCAGAAGGCATGTACAGTAAGGTAAGCAAGTAAAAAGGATGAAGGGATTTAAAGCCTGATGGGAGGTGGGGGGGGGGGGGGG